AAATAGTTGTGTTCTTGGTTAAAACAACAGTATCCCTATAATAATAAATATAATGTACGATATAAGTGCAACAATTAGAATGTAGCATAGGTAGCAACTTATCTGGCACATTTTTAACGAAAATAGAAGAACAATTTTTTGAAACCTTACTTAGTGTCTAAGTAGTCGGTTACATATAGTTGGTTACATACTAGTACTGAGGCTTGACAAGTTTCGGGGTACAACCATGTTTAGGGACTTAAAAGCTTAAATGTTTGCACATCGATTGATTTATCAGTGGTTCATCTAAATTAATTAAAAAAGTTGTAGTAACAATCGTGAAGAAAAAAACGGATTTTCGAGCCATTTCAGCACGGGCAACTTCACTCAGTTGCTATATCGTCAGGAAAACTTGCAATGCTCAAAAGAAATGTAGCTTATAGGCCAATCAACAGAGATAATTTAGTGTAAAAATTAAGGGAAGAATGAAATATATCCAGGTATTTTCACACATAGATACATATCAACAAATTTAACTAAATATTCTCTAAGCCACGGTATATATTTTAGATGAAAAAGCGTAAGGTAAAAGTTTTAAAGCTCCCATTTGAATTGTTACGCGACTGTTTTTGGTCATTAATTATTAAAAAAGTATTTATAATTCTCAAAAGTAATCACTTTAAATATATTGAATATTTACTGCAAAAATAATTATTATTATATATATTCCTATTTGAAGAAATCTCTTATGATTCTAAAACATGATGCCATAGACAATAGAATCTATTAATAATATTGAAAAAATGAGTAGTGTATTTTAAAGGGTAAAAGATGTTCTTTAAAGTACCGTCGTTGAATTTGCAAAAAAATATTTTTTTCACATAGGTACAAGAGTTTAAAAGCAACAAAAAAACATGTTTTTGACACTTTTAGGTTAGAATATCTCAAAAACTGAGGGTGAAGAAGCAATTCTGAGCTTGAATTCGGATTCCATTCATCAAATTTCTTCAAGTACACCAGGTCCAGTCTGTGGGTGTGAAAACGTGTTGGCCTGTCTTATTGATCTAGATGAACCGTTGATAAATCAGTTAATACGTAAGATCTTAAGCTTGAATGCTACATGTAAATATCATTTTAAGCCGTTTCTTTTCTCGCGAAGAATTACAATTTGCATATCAACAGTTTCAAGCCGATAGTAGTCAAATACACAAAGCGACCCGTTACCAAAACGTATCGTAACTTTCATTATTAAAGTTTTCGCCGAATGCAAGAAAACGTTTAATAAATAAGTTTTTGTAAATAAATTTCCATAATTATTTCTTTTGAGTATCCATCAATCCAGTAAGACTTGAGATATAAGTGATAGAATATCGCATTTATAACTTGTCTTCGAACATTGAGCTCTCCTTGAATTGTCTACAGTCATCATATAATTTTATAGATTTCTCCAAACGTCGTGCCATAACTTGATTTATGTGTGAAAAAAGAAACAATAATAATACTAAATCATTAGTTATTACTATGGTTATTTAGTGATATAACATAATAAAGCATGTGAATTTACCTTTAATTAATTGTCTATAGAACTGTTTAAAATCAAGGACTTGATTTATGACCTCGTATTTATCTGTAGATTTCGGCTAACTGAGCGTCCGAACGCTGGCTGTAAAAAAGAGATGTAATTGAATATCAATTGAATAAATTAAAATCATAAAAGTGTAGAATCTAATTGAAAAAAGAGAGGCATAAAATATGATAATTATAGCAACACGTATAAATGCAATTTATAAAGATTTGATTAATAGTATTCCAATATACAAACAACAAAATAGATAGAATAAATCTACCGCATCAAAAGCTTCTACAGATTTAAAGTGTAAAGGTTCAAAGATCAAATATTCAAAGATACAAATATAATTCGTAACAAGATCAAATATCTTGTTAATTCTCTCTTTCTAGTTGGAATTTTAAAAATCATAAAAATCATAACCAACAACTAGAAACGGAGGTGTTAGTTCAACACCTTATTAACCCGCCGCGCCTAGACAGAATTTTTTTGATACAAAAAATAAACCGATGTTAAAAGAAGCTGTTGATAATTTGCTAAATTTGGAGCAAATAAAAAAATCCAAATTTGCAAAAAATTAAAGGTAATCAAGCACAAAGCATCTTAGCTATCCCTTACTGATCTACTCAAACTCAGTATCTCTTATGGAGTACCATGTTGACTGAAGAACTACTAGCGTCTACGATGCGATTGATAGCAGGAGCATTATCAGGCTAGCTGATAAGAATAGTTGATAAGAATAGCTGATAAGAAGTAATAGCTAGTTATAAAAATCAAGGTTTCAACGATATAACAACAGATCTAATTTTCAAGCTCATAGCAAACTGTACCATAAAACAACACTGTTAACCTCTAGAAGAATGGGCTAAGTATTGTCTAGATAAGCACGTTTATATGCTTATTTAACCCGTCGACGGAAATGATCGCTTCTTGGATCAGCCAAAAATTTACGGAAGATGTCTCAAACGGCTCACTGAATGTTTACAGGTCAACCTTAGCACTTGTTTAGATGATAAAATTAGCAAAAATCCTTTGATTATTAGACTACTGAAGAGAATTTACAATAAACGACCGGCCAAACCCAAGTATGACAGGACATGCGACTTAGAACCAGTATTATTTGTAACGAGAGATTTGTAATTACGTGACGAGTCGACGGGTCGCGCTGCGCTAACCAGCTATATATATATAAAAGTAGCGGAGCGCGGAAGGAACAATCCAATTCGCCCCCGACATCACCGTGCCTAACACCGAACATCAAAGTTTTCGGGATACGGGACAAGAACTTGGGTTAACTGACCAAGTACCACTACACAAGAGCCACCGGATACGATCTTACGACACCGGGTCCGAGGACTGCATAAGCGGCAAAGCGGGGAAACGGCAATCAACTGCGACGCATCGACGATCCGTAAGCGCACCGTTATAAACTGTGTGACAATTCAGCGTTTGTTGCGTGCTGACCACAGCCTCACGTCGCCCTGCAGGCCGCGTTGTACTTTGTCGGGTTGCATTTGAACTGACGTGCGACACCAATTGTGAGATGCGATCGATGGGAATAAGATTAACGTGCGGGTTTATTGGTGTCTGGCGAGAATGTGATGAACGTGTGTCGGTGTGTTAGGCTCTTGTAATGTAAGGCTATCTGTATGCGAAGAAAACAATAAATCCCCGAGTAGTTTGTTTATCCCTGTATCTCTCGATCTAAATTAATTCTCAGAACTAATTAAATTAATTAAATTAAATTAATTAAACTAATTAATTAAACTAACTAAACTACGTTGCTCTACCGACTATTTACTAGCCCTTCAGAATTGTTAACCTATTTCTTATATTTTACATATTGTACCCATGAAATACCTTAACACTGTCGGACCTTACAACAAAACTGGTCATTCTACTTGCACTGGTTACTGCCCACAGAAGACAAATCTTATCTTTAAAAGGAATTAAAAACATACACTGTACGCAACAAGATTTCGAAATTGAGATTTCTCAGAAGGTTAAGAACTCTATGCCTGACAGGAATCAACCTCTATTGGTCCTAACCGAATTTATGGACAAACCCGAATTCGATGTTGTGAAAATCCTGCTAAAATACCTCGTGGTAACTAAATAAAATCGTAAACATAACAGTTTATTTTTGACAACTACAGCCCCATATAAAGTTGCCTCACCGGACACGATTAGCCCATGGGTAAGAGTCTTTTTTGGCTGGATATGGTGTTTATTAAAAAATTCGCACCGTACAGCCTTAAAAATGCATCTACCTCAGCAGCTTTAAAGAAAGGCGTAAATATTAATGTCATTTTAGCTGGCTGGTCAGAGAAATTCAGTTTTCAACCGTTTTTATGATAGACTCATTTCTTTAACCCGTTAAGGCCGAGAACGCCCCTCCCGGTACACCGCTCTTTCGACTATCATAACTCGTGCAATTCCACGTATAAAAAATTGAAAGATACACTATTTCAAAGCTTAAGATCTTCCCTTTCCAACGGTGTGCCGAAAAATGCGATAAAAAAATGTTAACTATGTGAAAATATTGTTTAAATAAAAAAAAACACGATTTTTTCATAATTTTTTTTTATAAAATCAAGTTTTCAGAATGGATCTCGGTTTGCAATCCACTTGGAACCTCAATAACTGGTGGCATAAATGTCTAAGCTTTCATAATATATATTTCCGAGATCGTTTTTTTATCTCAGTATCATCAAAATGGCGCTTCAATGACGGAATTTTCGTTCAGACATTCATGAATTTTTTCCTTGAAAAGAATGGACTTTTCGAAAAAGTCAAAAAGAAAAAAAAGTTCTTAAAATCACTCGTATAATACATTAGAATTTTTTCGAAATGTTTGGAGCAATTATTTGAATTTTGCAAATTGTCAAATTTTGAACATTTTCAAAATTGACCTTAATTTTTTGAAAAAATTCGAGTGCATTCTTTGCTCAGTTTTGAAAACTTTTTATTCCTGGTAAATTTTCATATGAGTTCATTGCTTTTAAGAAAAAAATTCACAAGTGTCAAAATAATTGCACAGTATGTATAGTCCGAGGTATCCACGCTGCAATTAGTGTGTGAGCTTGTACTGGTGAAAAAAGATATGAAAAGGAATACGTTTTTAGAAAAACCTAATTTGGTGATGAAAATAACAAAATAAACTATCTACTTATAACTGCAATCTATATCGGAGCGAAATCCTGAATAGCCGATCGTGTCGCAGAAGCCCATCATTCGTTCATAGGTGGCCTGAAAATCCAATTTTAGCGAAATTCATCGCATTGGAATGATTCATGAAATACATTGAATTTTGAATCTTGCAAGTCATTGAGTATTATTGACTATAATCAATTGAAGCAAAAATCCGTAAATCGGCCCGAATAATACAGCTGGTTGCTACAGGCTTCCTACCAACAGGACGTTCCACTGAAGTTATTTCAGTAGGTTGAGAAAAATGTCGAAAAGGAGACCCGCGAAAAGGAGTTACTGTGAATTGACTGATGAAGAGTCAGATTCGAATGAAAATAAACAGCATATTTTTATACCTAATCCAGATGACTCTGGCACTGATGGAGATAGTTCGTCAGATACTGACAATTCTGAATCAGAACTATCTGATGAAGACAATTCTGAATCGGAAATTCATGTACCAAATGTCTCATATCGATCTGTTTTTGAAAGTTATACAGAAAAACAAAAACTGTTAGAGTCAAATCATACTTTTTCAGGGTGTGAAGGAGAAAAAGTTTACTCTGTAGATTTGAAAGATCAATTGTTATTGCCTGATTCCGTAAAGCAGAAAATATCTTCAATGTCACACGTGGAACTGTTCGAAATCTTTTTCTCTGAAGAAATAAAAAATTATATTATTCAAGCCAGTGAAGAAAATGATTTGAAATTATCTACAAAAGAACTCAACACATTCATAGGAATATTATTATTATCATCTTACAATATTCGAAAGAATCAAAGAGAGTATTGGGAAACCGACCCTCTCGAAAACTGCTCTGCTGTTTCATCAGCGATGACGCGCGATCGGTTTAGTGAAATAAAATCTAAAATAAAATATTCAAAACCTACTGACAAAAATGATAATGATAAAGCTTGGAAAGTCCGTCATATTTTGGAATTGTTTAGGACCAATATTAAACAATTTGGATATTTTTCAACTGCTCTTTCCATTGACGAAATGATGGTTAGATTTTTTGATCGCACGTGTCTGAGGCAATATTTGCCTTCTAAACCTGACCGATACGGGATCAAACTCTGGGCCTTGTGCGGAGCAAATGGATATATATTCAACGTTGATATTTATTGTGGTAAGAACGATACAAGCATTGGGATAAATTTATCCGCATGTCCACTTGGCTCCAGAGTTGTATTACAAATGGTTAATCCACTTCTACATAACCTTTCAAAAAGAAAATTGTCTGACTATCATGTCTATTTTGATAACTATTTCACTAGTCCTGATTTAGTCGTTCACTTGAACAAATGTGGCTTACGATCTACAGGAACTGTTCGTAAAGATAGAGTGAAACAAAAACATGATTTTGAAAAAAAAGCACCACGAGGAACGAACAAAGCGAGTTATGATCGTAACAGTGGAATGAATCTCATCAGTGTAATTGACTCAAAAGAAGTTTCTATTCTTTCTACGGCAGCTGGCGTCACTCCCTTGGAGCCAATGGAAAGATATTCAAGAACTGCTAAGAAAAGATCAAAATTGGAATTCCCTTGTGCTTTTTCTTCGTATAACAAGTACGTGGGAGGAGTGGATTTGCACGATTTTCGATGCAAGAAAGCTTCTCCAAGTGTTAGTTCAAAGAAGTGGCCATTCAAAATTTTCTCACGAATTATTGAAATATCAATAACGAACGCTGTAACAATAAGCAATCTTTGCAGAAAGGATAGAAAAATAATGAAAACGCAAGAAATGTGTAAAGAAGTGAGTAGAAAGTATTTGGCGCAATCGAAAATATGTGATCTCAAATCTCACAGGCACGATACTAGAACAAGAAACAAATGTAATAGCGAAGGATGTTGTGTAAGGACTACCAGATACTGCATTGATTGCAAAGAATATTACTGTATCGAATGTTTTTCAAAATTACACGCAGGAAAGGTAGCGAAAGGAATTATCGATTCCAGAAAAATTCATCAACAAAAAAAATTAAAAATAAAAAAAAAAATAACTAAAATATGAAAAAAAAAAAAAAAAAAAAAAAAAAAAAAAAAACTATCTATATTCGTCGACCTCCTCATTAGTGATAGTTGGGCAACACAAACTCTGTTTGCGGCGGACAGGCGATCAAAGAGTGGATGTTAATGACTTACGTATTGGGCAATTACTTTGACACTTGTGAATTTTTTTCTTAAAAGCAGTGAACTCATATGAAAATTTACCAGGAATAAAAAGTTTTCAAAACTGAGCAAAGAATGCACTCGAATTTTTTCAAAAAATTAAGGTCAATTATGAAAATGTTCAAAATTTGACAATTTGCAAAATTCAAATAATTGCTCCAAACATTTCGAAAAAATTCTAATGTATTATACGAGTGATTTTAAGAACTTTTTTTTCTTTTTGACTTTTTCGAAAAGTCCATTCTTTTCAAGGAAAAAATTCATGAATGTCTGAACGAAAATTCCGTCATTGAAGCGCCATTTTGATGATACTGAGATAAAAAAACGATCTCGGAAATATATATTATGAAAGCTTAGACATTTATGCCACCAGTTATTGAGGTTCCAAGTGGATTGCAAACCGAGATCCATTCTGAAAACTTGATTTTATAAAAAAAAATTATGAAAAAATCGTGTTTTTTTTATTTGAACAATATTTTCACATAGTTAAAATTTTTTTTATCGCATTTTTCGGCACACCGTTGGAAAGGGGAGATCTTAAGCTTTGAAATAGTGTATCTTTCAACTTTTTATACGTGGAATTGCACGAGTTATGATAGTCGAAAGAGCGGTGTACCGGGAGGGGCGTTCTCGGCCTTAAATAATAGTACATTACAATACAAGGGTCGAAAGTTGCCGGGGCATCCAACTATTGAACCAAGTATTGTATACTATTTTTCTTTATCCCTGACTGAAAACGCGCTCAATATTTTATTAATTAGATTAAAACTCGAACTTTGTTACGTGCGCTATGTCTTCTATGTATCTACTTTTACTTCCTGCATCAGCGCGCTCTTGCGATTACAAATTTGAGTTTAATTCTTTTGCGTCATGTCATCAATGCCTATCAGATATTTCCAGTCGAATGCACCACGGAGTTATGAAATGTTGATGCCCGCTCGATTTTTGCATGGTCAAGGTGGGCATCAACAATAAAAGTATACATATTATAATAATTTTTAAAAAATTATTTTCTTTATTTTCGTTATCAGTTACAGAATTAAAGTGCAGTTGTTGAAAGTACAATTCTCAAATTTCACATTCTTTGCTGTTACTACATTTGAATCAAAGTGTTGTTGATCTGGGCATGTAGGTTGAGATGTTTTTTCATTTCTGGTAGAGGTCAAATCTTCAAGAGCCTTTCGCTTCACATTTTGTAGTGTTTCTGTAAGATGGATTATTGAAGTTAAGTTTCACTGGTGGTTTCTTGAAAAAAGTTTTATGATATGATGAGGATCCTACTGCATTTATTGATTTTAATACGATGATAGTACGGTGACTGGCAGTGATGAAGCCAGTTTCTTCGATTTTAGCTAATAATAAAAAGTGGCATTAATATTAGCTATTCTCTAAGTATCAGTACAACAGTTATATACATATTTGAAATTGGATGGGTATTTTCAAGTGAGAAGTCTTCAGAAAAATCTGACCAATCTAAGTTATAATCACGTCTTTCACTTTCTTCATAGATGTGTCTGCTTGTAGAGTGTTGGATGTTTTAATTCGTATCTCTGCTGGTAGATGGTCTTGGATGGCTTGTTGATGGTTTTGAAGTGTTGCCATTTGTGATGGTCTTCAAAAATCTCCAGTTTTATTAATGATTTCCTCGAAGATTAATTGCCTGTTCTATATAGAATTTGTTATATATCTTTGGGCTATTAAATCTAAACTTTATCTTCCAAGTTGTTTCACAATCTACATGTTTGCACCCGATTTGGAAAGGAGTGTTGCTGCAGTTCTTCTAAAACAGTGACCAGTGTATCTTTCTGTGTTGTCTAAATTTAAAAAGGTAGCAATCTTCTGTGGTATTTTGCTAATTTTATTTTTACCCACGTTTTGGCGAGTACATTTGTCATTACTATACTGTATAACAAATCTTTCAGTGAATTGATCGTATGGTCTCAACAACATGTACTCTTTCATTTTATCACAGAAAAGACTTTAATGATGAATTGTCCAGGATAGTTATTTTGGTTGTTTCCAATTGTAATAAGTATGCGCTAATTTCCTAAATCTTCTATATCTGATACTTTCATATTGGTGATTTCATCACAATGCAGTGCCCTACGAATGCCAAATATGAAAATAACCTGTAATTGTTATGAATATTAATGAATGATTGTTAATTCAAACATTGTACATATATAATTAAATAGTTATATATGTACCTTTGCTGATGAATAAATCTGATCCGATGCTTCATCTATAAATTTTATAATCTGTTCTCATTTCAAAACACAGGATTTCTTTGGTTGATATCCTGTGGCATTATTTTTAATTAAGCACTTTAAATTTAAAAAGTTATTAATATTTATATTTTCACGTGTATTTAAAGTTGTTTTAAGTATATTTTATATGCTCCACAAAGTCAGTGGTTTTAATTTTTCTTTTAATTCATTAAAATAAATAATTGAATTATTTTCATTTGAATTTGATGAAAAACTTATTTTCTTCTATCTACTTTTTACAAATATTATACACTAGAAGATGATGATCGTGATTTCTTTGACAACGTATCGATTTGCACGATTATTCTTGCTTCTTCATCAAAACTTCTTGACACTTCTTCGTCAACACAGTCATCAGATGAAAGTTCATGATTACGACTCATGTACATACATTCGCAACCGGCAGTATCAGTGATTATTGTAGTGAACTTGTCTTCATCCTTTTTGGGCAATAACTTTTGGAGATGATTTGATTACAATTAATATTCCAGTTTTATCCACAATGTAAATTCCTTTTAGTGTAAAATTATGTTAATCTAAAATATATTTCAATATCTGAATACTAATGAATATTAAGGAATATGAATCGCTACTTGATTGAATCTATAGCCTTTGGCTGAAGATGTGTGCTCGGTTTTTCTAAATAATAATTCGTGCCTTCTCATGAAATTATAGAGCCAAGCTTTACTTGCTATTTTTTTCTCTACTGAAGTGATGAGGGACCTGCATTTTCTCAGCAAATTTATATGCTAATTTTCTCACATTTATTTCATCAAGCCCCATTGATTTAGTCTCCATCTTTTATACCAACTATACCAACCATAGCTTCTTTTCATTCATTACTAAAGGTATGATTAAATAATTTTGTTTTCGTTTTTAGCATCACCAGATTTTTCTTTTAGCTTTTTCTGAAGTGTAGATCTAGGTATACCAAATTCAAGAGCAACACTTTTGCACTATTTTCCAGTACATACATCTTAAAGAGCTACATACAGCTGGCCTTCATTCTAATTTTTTTTCTTATTTTTAAAAATAAGCTCTAACCATTAGTGATAGGTTTACCTATTTATAAATATAAATAAAAATAGGTATATCACTTTTATCACATAGTTTTAAGCTGTTTAAATTAAAATTAAGTACTTATACTAATCATTTCAATCAACTCCAAGGCTGATAATAAAAAACTAACTTAATACCTAAATTAAAATTAACCACTTTGATGTAAAGACTATGTCATCAACAACTATTGTATCTTTATGCTTAGGTTGGAATTTTAGTCCGTAAACGGAATTGATATAAATTTGGGTACCTTGTACTCTTCTGCAGAAGTAAAGAATAGCTTTATTATTGCTTAGATAATTGATGTCACCATAAGTCATTCTAATGCAATTTGGCTGTCCTATTGCTTTGCCTGAGGCTGACTCAACTTTATTTTTTATTGCTTTAATGTTGTTAACTTCAGTAATTTGGTCTATTATATCAAAAACCGTTTCTATAGGATTATATTTTGTAATATTTTCATCAGGTGATGATTCCGGTTCTAAGTGTAATGCTTTTAAAACAGTTATTGGTTTAAAGCCCTCAATGTAGGGTTTATAGTAGTCGTCATTGTTTATATCTAGTATAGTTTTATTGGTTGTTATATTATATGATTCAGTGAATTTGTTGGTTAGCTTAATTACATTTTCCATTTCTTCATTTGGTCTGTTTAGCATTTTTTTATAATTGTAAATGGTCATTCTAGAGTGTGATCTATTATTACGAAGGTTACAATTGTTTGAAGGTTGAATTGTTTTACCTTGTATAGAAATATTCGAATTTTTGTATGTGAGCTATAACAGTTATTTCCAAATTGAAGATATGCTGTTTTATCAATGTTTAATGATAATCTATTCAAGGCTAACCAGTTACCTACTTTTTGTAATTGATTATTCATCTTTCTTTCAACTTCTATCCAATTCCTACCAGACGCGATGACTGCTGTTTCGTCTGCAAAAGATAGGATAGAATTTTCTGACATTCGAAAGAATATCATTATAACTAGAATCAATGTTCACTATCGAGTAGCCTTCCCTTTAACTCTTCTGACCTAGATAGAAAAAAAATGAAATTATAAATAAGTCCAACATTGTGCATCATTGATAATAAGTTGCATTTATTCTGATTTTTAACAATATATTTTTATAATATTGTTTAAACTAAAAATGTTCCTAATTGTTGGAATTGCTACTTTTTATTAATAAAAGAAAATTATTACTCAGTTATCATTTGGATGTGAATAATATTAAATCTTTAATATTATTAATGTGTGTATAGTATTAATTTTAAATCTTTCTTCGCAGCTAATCGATTTGTATATGAATATTTTCGTTCTATAAAATAGGCACACTCTCTAACAACTTACAGTAGTTATTTTAGATCATCAATACATTCAGTTGTCAGTATACATTTCATGGCAGTAGCTTCCGAACAGCTATCTTTAGTAATAGTTTCCATTATAGGACCAATTATTCACTCATGATATTTGAAACTATGAGCATCGAGTATATGCAAGTCAAGTGCGCTGAAAAATTCACTCACATCTGTTTCACAATCACCAGTGTGAATAGATCCTGCGCAGATGTAACACAAGTCAATTGATATACAAAACACCATATGCATAACGGGGGCAATGTATTTTCCAAGAAAATGAATCGAAACTTAATAAAAAACGCAATTATTACCTAAGACTATCTTTGTGTCTATAGCAAAAGTACTTTTGCTAGTCACTGGATTGATGTATTCTTCTCTATTCTTAAGTGTATTGACAAGCAAACCCTCGTGGCACCGTACACTGGAAGTTGAGACTGCTCCACAGATAGTTTCTTTTGCAATGTATTTCAAATCTAGTCGAGTACAATAGTACAATTTATATTGTTTGAGAAGTATTCTATGTCAACAATACGATTTCCTTTTACCCAGCAGGTTGCATCTGAGTCTACGTCAATTTTCTTTTTCATACCTTTTCTTATTTTTCCACATTCTGAGCGCTGCTCCCTTCGTTTACGCACTTGTTTGCTAACAAATTTGTCTTTCCAGGGATCCTTCTCCGGAACATTTGATTTATACATTATTCAAAATACTGTTTTGCAAAGTAAATTTGTTGTATTAAATAAGGTTATATGACAACAGGTGCCATTGCGCAACAGTGGCAGCAACTTAAAAATAAAAAATTTTAATATGCGATATTGCCCCGAGTTCACATCATTTTTCATTTGTGTTATCCTTACACCAAGTGCGAAACTAATTAATAACACATTTTTTGCATAAATATTATTTCATTATATTTCATTTTCTTGTATTCAAACCAAATTTTTAGGCTATAGTTATTGATGGAAAAAAAAATTAAAATTTGATTCTCTGAAGTTTATAGCAGTCATTTCAGCCTAAGGGATAGGACCGTTCACCTGATCCCATACTCCTCATGACTTTCCAGAACCCCCTTAAAGTTGGCTTAAAAAAACAATCTAATCTATCCTAACATTATTCTTCCAAATACTCCATAAGGTCTAACCTATTATATTAATTTAATAGCATTAAATTCGAATATATTGATGAAAATTGTACAAATAATGAAAAAGAAGAACACGATATAGACACTAGCAAGGCCAAAATTTTCAAAATTCTTGAACCAGCAGCATTAATAACTCAAAAATTAAAATCCGATCCACATTATAAGTATTATTTAATAACTGTGTTACATGCTAAAAAAGTTAACGAGTATGATACTAAATTTTATCAAATGAAAAAAGTTTTTGAAGCCCCATTAGAAAACCGTACAATAGACTTAGACCAATAACTGTATTCCGAATATTTATTCTTACAGTGAATGTGGCCAGCATACTGATAGAGATGTCATGTTAAGAGACTGACTTTATCAAACACACATTAATGTCGAAACATTCTCGATTCAGGCAAAATAAATAATTATTTTTTTATTATTTATTTGAAAGCATTATAAGAAATCTTCATACAGAAATTTATCATTTATTGAATGTTCTTGACACTCGCTAAAAATATACTGCCAAAAATTGAAAGAATTACAAGACAATATTTCGGAGTTAAACCTCCATAGTCTTTTTAGTCGTCTAAAAAGGGTAGTAGTTTATTGGGTTAAACCAAGAAGAATCATTGCTACGCATGATGCAAGAGTACGGCACTGTTACATTGTTTGTTACTTTATGTCCTGGTAAGTGGAATTGGCCAGATATTGCATGCTTCATACAAGAATTCGAAGGATTACCAAACGATTCAAAATCTAATAGTTAATTAATCGCTGATTATCCTATATCAGCTGCAATTTTTATTGAGACAAAATTCAAAGCTGTGATAGCCTATTTACTTTCAGATGCAAAACTATAAGGAAGGAATAATTCATCATAAAATTGGGATTTCCGTAGCTTGATTTATGTTCATACTGTCAGAAAAGTCGATTTTTATTGAGCCTTAATTGTGAAAAGACTTACGGTAACTGATATAACTAGTATATGAGTATATTACAATCGTAATTGAGATAACAAAATAAATTGGCTCTAAATTGCACGAGCCAATGCAAAGTGGGACGTCTTAAATACACAATTTCAGTGATCACAATAATATGGAATATGCGTTTTATCATAAATAGCTGGTTTTAAAAAGAATCCGGTTGGCGATTCCGAAAAAAGTCACTTACGGCCCATTCTACATGGATTCAACCGGCAAAAAAGTTAATGGCTTTGATATATGTCATTCTATGTCAAATTTCATGAGACGTGTTTTTTCTTTTTATCAAAAAACGATTTTGAGATCATTTTTTGAGGTTATTGGAGGCGGGATCAAAGTTATCACCTTAAAATCGATATACAGGAACTAAAAATTTACATTTTTTTCAAATGACAGACATTTTGACCCAAATTATGCTGTGGAAATTTTTATTTCTTCAAAATGCGAGGAACTGAATCTTGTTTTCAAATTTTATATATCTTGAAAAACGACGTAAAATGGAAAATTCTGAAAAAAGTATTTTTTTTTTCAAAATTGATTTTTTAAAAAAGTACGTCTTCGATTTGCACGAATTTTTTATGTATTTTGCAAGATTATATAAGCTATCTTTTGGCTAAACCGCAATATGCCATCTTGCTCTGTTCACGAAATATAGTCCGACAACTATAAAGTGCCATTTTTTACATGTTTAAACTAGTGTTATCCACACATAGCGCTTTTCTGATGATTTCTATATGATAAATCTAATCAAACCATTATATTCTATGTAAAAAAGTACATCGAAAACATGTGTCACATATTTGAAAAATAATTTAATTGGCCTCAAAAAACTCAACAAACATAGTAAAGTATAGTATTTGGCTTGTTATTTCGTGTTCTTCATCATACTTAATTAGTTAAATATAGTCTGTTCATGTACAATGATACACAGTAATGTTATTAATAGTAATTTTTAACTACTATCAATTGTAATCATTTGAATTTTATAATTTAAAACAGTGATTCAAATAATTATAAACTACTGCACCATCTATACGCTCTAGTATTAATGATAAATATTAGCTGATGTCGATGAGCAATCTCCGCTTCAACGTCGGCTACTCCTTGCAGATGTTCGGATCTAAATAAACAGCTTCGTGTTATGTCATAAATAATACTTCTTTCTTTGACTAATGCAGTGAAATCGAAAGCTTTTGAATCAATTACCATAGTGCGCGAATACGTTACATCGTTTTAGGTGTTACATAAAACTATGTAGAAATAAAAAATAAATAAATTGGTATGTCATCTTTATGTCTTTCAGAGATTAGATTTTGCTGATTTTTAATGAGTTAGTAAAAGCAGTATTTGCCTTATACCTTTTCTTTCTTCGTTCCATAACTAACTATTTTTTTTTTAGTTTAGATTGGGCTGCGTGAGTTTATTAAACAAGGAATTGTTACTGTCTGCAAGAATTGTAATTATCAACAATGAGTTCGTTTTGTTACAAATGAGCTCAAAAAATGTTCAGATGTTAGCAAGATTCATAAAAAGGTTGTGTACGAAGATAATAAACGTCTATTTAAAGTTCCCGGTAATGTAGTAAATGGATTGTTGATATCCAAAGAATATCAAAGCCGTGATATAACAGAAGACACGACTATGTTCTCTTTGTTATGATAAACTTCAAAAAATATCAGCAGCAAATCTTGAAAAAGCACAAGAGTTAGTTTTCTCTACTCCATCTAGTGAATCTCAAAACCATTTACCAGCTAATTCTCAATCGTCTATAAGTAGTATTCAATTATACGATGAAATGAACGACATTGTGATTAGGAATAATTTATCACTATCACCATTCAAATCTCCTTCGAGTATTAGCTCAAAAAACGTAGAAAATTACGTTAATGGCAAACGCAAACAATTATTCAATACTTTCACCTAAGAAAGTGATTGCAAAATTAGAAAATTATGTGATGTTTCTACAGATAAATTAGTATTTGATAAAGCAAGACATGTTACGAATGGAATAAAAATTCTAGTTCGGTCTTATCAAATAAAAATGTAAATTATCAAGAAAAATTACGTTTAACACCGTTAATACCTTCGAGTCTTCAGAAAACATACATTTTGTCGCATATCAAGAGAACTATAGATTACACGATCCGAAACTCATCAAAGCTTGTGCAAACTAAAGGTAATACGAACAGCCTGACCTGTATTCTGGAAATCCTGTTAAGAGTGAAACTATTAAGTTAGTTAAAAGATATTACTTGGACAATAATCGAGATTATTCCAGACAGTGTCCCAATAGAAACGACGTCAAAAGTATTAAAATTGATGGAGAAATAACAAAAAAAGTCAAACGGTTCCTCATTCATAGTATCAAAAAATTTATGATTTAATTTTCAAGCAAAATCCAGATCTCATAATTTTAGGAGCAAAGATTTATCAATTGCGCTCTAAATGGATCATTATTCAACCATTTAACGATTCATGTTTATGTGTTCATTGTGCCAATTTAGACCTTTCAGTGACCGCTTTGAAAAATATACTCAAGAAGAGACATTCTAAATTTTCAACTTTAAAAAAAGAGTTCTTAGCCATAATAGTTTGCTCTAGTGAGAACGATTTACGAGTATGTATTCTTCGAGAGTGTAAAAAATGCCAAAATAAAGTTATTACTGAAAAAAATGTTAATCAAGAAGATTTACTTCATGATGGAATCACTTACGAAATCTGGCAAAATAACGATTTAGTGAAAAAAAACTTGCTCATTTGATGTTTATCTAAAGGAACTAAATAAGTACGTGGAAAAACCGAGTAATTATAGACGAATCAAAGAGCTTCGGCTAGAAAAAACCAGATTAGAGAAAGAAACCGGCAAGTTGAATAGCCATTGTCTCATTCTTCATGGAGATTTTACAGAGAACTGTTCCCTCATTTAGAAAAATATTATTTAAGGATTTCATTAAATTAATACGCAGATCTCCATATTTACATCTGTTACCGAAACTATAAGAGTAGTGAGTGATGACAGACAGCATAATTCAGAGTTTGAAAGCTATGAATTTCATAGCGAGTGTAAAAAATTAGTGGATACGATAAATAGTTTCACTGCAATGTCTGATGGCGCTTCAGCTCATTTCAAGAATAGATTCCAGTTTCACGAATTAAGCAATGATTATAAGAATACAAAGTGGATCTTTACAGCGACGGAACATGGAAAGAGCGCATGTGATGGTGTTGGAGGATTATTCAAACATTAGGCTACGGTTCATTTACTTGTCGTCATCGCGCAATGAAAGTATACAAAATGCTGAAGATTTTGTTAAATATGTGAGAAAGTATACCGATAAAATAAGACTTATACATTTGAAAGCTGAAGAACTTGAAGATTTTCGTACTTAGAAGAGCGAAGAATGGATGTCGGTAAAGTCTGGTAAAGGCATTCGTGATAGCCGTATTTGACAATGACCCGACAGACAAATGATGACGGAAAATCTATTGTCCAAAGAGCTATGAAAAAAAAACAGCTAAAGGTGAATAGGTACGTATTCAGTGCTGAATATTTCTGAAAATTATACTACTAATCACTGTGCTTCTCTATGATTTAACAAACTAAATATTGATATTAGTATAATTATTGTACATCATTGCAAATGAACAGATTATATTAAACTTATTGAGTATGCTTAAAAATATTGTAGAATATAGATTTCGTCGTTCTTCTCAATATTATTTTGTTAATTGTCAAGGGCAACGTCTAGTAACACGTTGTTATTCTTTTTAGTTAGTCTTGCGAGTTGATTGATTGAGTAAACTGATTTAACCAATAGAATTATTTTTATATTTTGATTTGTTCAATTAAAGTTCTTTTATGCAATCTGTTTTTATTATTTACGTGAGTTTATTACAATATGAATAGCAAGCAGAATACTGTACTCTATTATGTTTGTTTTTTGAGATCAACAAAATTATTTTTTCAAACATGTGACACATATTTTCGATGTACTTTTTTACAGAGAATACAATGGTTTAATTAGACTTATCATAGAAATCATTAAAAAAGTGCTATATGCGATAACATTAGTTTAAACATGTAAAAAATGGCACTTTATGTTTATCTGGCTATATTTCGTGAATGGAGCAAGATGGAATATTGTGGTTCCACTAGAAGGTAACTTATATATATATATAATCCTGAAAAGCACAAAAATTCGAAAATGTACTTTTTCAAAAAATCAATTTTGAAAAAAAAACAACTTGCTTCAGATTTTTCCATTTTACGCAGTTGTTTTTCAAGATATATAAAATTTGAAAACATGATTCAATGCCTCGCATTTTGAAGAAATAAAAATTTTCTCATAGCATAATTTGGGCTAAAATGACTGTCATTTGATAAAAAAGCAAAATTCCGTTTTCCGTAAATCGATTTTAAGATGTTAATTTTGACCTTGCCCCTAATGATCTCAAAAAGGTTTTTTGAAAAAAAGAAAAAAAACACGTTTCATGAAATTTGACATAGAATGACATAATGAAATTTAAAAAAAATTGAAACGTTCAATTTTTTTTGCCGGTTGATTACATGTAGAATGGGCCTTATACGAGTGGCCAACTTAAGTGAGACGTACTATGTAGATATTGAGCAGAATCCACAATTTATCGATTATTTTTAATAAACGAAGATGCAATCACGCAAATCCCAATCGTGAAGACATCTTAATCACTACAGTTGACATTCTATTATGACACAATTCTACTATGATAATAAACAAAATTAAAAAATCAAGCGCCCCTCCAATAATAATAATTCCGTAACTGTGTCGACGCATCTTTCAAAATAGCAGCTTATTGTATTATACGCGTGCACAGCTTAATACAGTTATTGTGTGTATCCAAGCAATGATCGGGACTTTAACTTGCGTCTTTCACAACTGGAAAGAAATCCGAAAACTAGTTATCAAAGCACGAAAAATGTAAAACTGTATTTAATAGGCACGATGAAATTTGGCGAAGTTACCGCACCGCGAAAGCGTCGCGATGCGTATGATCCTAGCTATGCGTCTGCTACTGCAATATTGCTCTTTACGGGGATGCGCTGCGCAGGTCGCTCCGAAATATTTATCTGGGGGGAGATTGTCGATGAAAACATGAACGTAACATAACTGTTTTTTATTCGAGAAAGATTTGAACTGAAACTATAATACAGGCGTGTATTATATTTCTTTTGAGGGGAATCCCAAGTGAAATTCCTGCTATCCCGTGCAGAAATTTCCCCAGTAGAACCCAAGGTTTAAACCCGATTCTGGCTAGATTTACCTAACTTCATAATTCTCACGTAAATCATACATGAATCGAATCGGAAAATCGTGGAGTCACTGACAGGGTTATGGTGTATAAGTGTTTCTCGGCTGGATCCAGTGCGATACTCGTGCCGCAATCAAAGCTTTCTTTTACACATGTTTTCCTTGTCAGTATCTGACTAGACATTCGTATTTTAACTAACCTAAAAATACAATGTTAATTAGTAATGATAATCTCACTAGAATCTTGTTAGTTCTCCTTTGATTTAACACCGATTGCATCAGACAACTAAAAAATTCATAAGTGCAAACGAATAGGTTATGATGAACTTTTCGACAACACGTACAATCGTACTTATTAATTTGATTTCCTAATGTAAGTATTAACTTTAAGTTTATAATTATTTAATATAAACATTCATATGTATATTATAAGCAGTATATAGAGACTCAAAATCTAAAAAATGCAAGAATCGAATGTTGATCAGAAAAAAAAGAAAAACAGAGAACGGAAGAGAGAATATCGACTGATCCAGAACGAGGTTAATTGCCAGATTGCCCGTGCCCAAGTCGAATATATATACGTAAATATTGATATAATATCAACAGGAAGTTCAGCTAACAACATTTATTTATCTCACGTCATAAACTTAATACAATTTTTTTGCAGATGAACAAAATGCTAAGAAAGCTAAGTTTGATCAATTACACACCATTGAAAATTTACATTTTCAAGAAGATATTGATGCATACCATCAACTACAGAATAAAAATGATTTTAATCATTATCATGAATCCACAGAGTCTCAACATCAAATTTCCGAAAATGAGCAAAAATCCGACGAAATCGATCAGCCATTAATAGATCTAAATCAAGAAAACGAAAAGAAATTTGATGAAGCTGAGAAATTGAAGGAATGGGCTTCTGAACGTAACATTGATTACGTAGCATTAGATGAATTGCTGTTAATATTACGAGAAAGATTAATGCCCGAATTACCAAAATCTTCTAAAACATTCCTAAATTTGAATTATAATTATGACATAAAAAAAATTGAAAATGCTGACCGGGATATGTCATATGTTTATTTCGGATTAGAAGGCAGTGTACGAAGCGTAGTAAATCCAGATCTTCATAAAGATGGAAACATTTTTTTACAGTTCAACGTAGATGGAATGTCTTTGTTTAAATCGAGTAACGTACAGTTTTGGCCAATTTTAGTTAAAGTGTGTGAAAAATTTGATACCTACCAGCCGTTTGTACTTGGCATATTAGAATCCGATGGAAAACCTGATCATAACGCTGATCAGTATTTAGATGAGTTTGTGGATGACCTTAATAATTTGTTAGAATTAGGCCTAATAATTAATGAAAAACACTTTCAAATTAAAATAAAATGTTTTGTATGTGATACTCCAGCACGTTCTTTTTTAAAATGCACAAAAGGTCATCCCAGTGAAAAGTGGAACGTTTCCCAACCCGAATCCAACAGGGATTCCTTGTCGGATTCTAGGCTGTACTGGGGAAATCGGATCAGAATCTAGTCCGATTTTTTAACGAATTTCTGCACGGGATGTGATAACTTATCGATGTGGGAGTGATTGAGATGGTTTTATATGTAAAATTTCACGAGGAATTTAATGGTGTAGTCCAAAAAAAATCTTAAAATTTTTGTCTATATTTTTCAAATAAAAAATTTTGGTTTTGAATTTTTAATTTTTGACTTATACCAGCTACAGCTGGTATGGTATTGGACAATGCGAACGATCGTGCAGCGCACCGAAGAATGTATGTGTGTGTTAGGTGTTTCCAATGAATTTGAATTCTATGAAAATTAAATTTTAAATTATTTGAAAATTTGAATTTCCATAATTCAAATTTGTTCTTAAAATTCAAATTCATTGAAAACACCTAACACACATTCTTCGGTGCCCCGCACGATCGTTCGCGTTGTCCGTATACGAAAACGCGGTCGAGTGATAATTAAGGCCGCAGTAAATTGAAACTCATCTTGCAGTTTTTGATATTTCGGAGTAAAAATTTTTTACAGTTTCTTCGAATTATTCTGAACAACATTACGTATAGATTAAGCTGTAGCTGGTATAAGTCAAAAATTAAAAATTCAAAACCAAAATTTTTTATTTGAAAAATATAAAAAAAAATTTTTAGATTTTTTTGGACTGCACCATTAAATTCCTCGTGAAATTTTACATGTAAAATCATATCAATCTTGATTTTGTTGCACTGCACCATTAGATACTTTGTGAAATTTTACATATAAAACCATATCAATCACTTCTGCATCAATAAATTATCACCAAGCTAAAATTTCACTTGGAGCTTCTCCTAAGACATTCATTCATATGATTTTGAAAATTGAATTCCAAGGTCACCACACGACACTTTCTCTAAACCCTACAACTTTTGTAATGACTATTTTTCCGATTTCTGCAATTCCAGAGGAGTTATTCTACGATTAATAGAATCGGAGATATTCTTGTTTAAAGAATGGCTTTTCTTCCACAAAATTTTAGGAAATTTATGGCTGGTACTGTATTTTCTTTAATGACTCAGTTATTGGATTCGAAAATTAAGGTACACGACATTTTGCAATATTACATGACTTAGGAGAAATTATTAACATTTGCTGCGATTTTTTACATATGTTGTGAGATTTCAATTTATTCAATATGATATTACTATGTTTTAATTGAATCGGCAATTTATTAACATTAATTAACCCAAATGGTTGTTTCATAAAATTTTCTGATTGTAATGTAGATAACAAATGGAACATTTCTGAAAGTTGAAATGAATATTTGACAAAATTCACATGCTGGAATAAAAAAAGAATCTTTTGACGCTTCAAATATTGAATTTTGTTTACTTTGAATAATATGTGATGAAATAAATATAATTAATGATAAAATGAAGACTCGCCTTAATCTAGTTCGTTAGCTAATGACTAATAAAAAGTATTTCAGGTAGGAGTGCAACTCATGTAAATAATTAATTAAGATTTATATTTAACTGGCAGTTGAATTAACGAAAGAGGAACAAAGAAAACTAGTATCTAGCAAGCATAAAAAAACCTAGTCTCATGGGGGGAAAAAACCATTTAGATACCAACAAATTAATACAAACTAAATTACACATTAACTGATTATCGCTAAAAAAAACACAATGAAAAGTATAGTAACGCTGATTTTGGTTTAGGATCGATTAGCCTTCACTCAGACATACACACACGTTGAATGGCCATACAAAAGGATTCGCTTACCAGCCCGACGCGCTATGCGCGCAAGGTATGAGAGGGAGAGTGTCTCCAATCAGGAAAGGCACGACGCATCTCCGACGTGTCGGGCACGGGTACAACCCTTACTACGTCGTCACCTGAGATAGACAAACGGACAGAACTGCCGTAAGGTCGGAGACACTTCAGAGGATATACTGTATCCTCAGCTTAGGCCACAGGCGAGCCTGCCCTTAGCCCCTAGTGCCGCTGGTCACAGTTCGCTTTGCGAGATCGCACACACTTGTAAACACACAACCAAAAATGACGAGCACAGTCGCGCACACAAGCTACAGAAAGGAAGAAGTGGATATGTTACTAAGCACGAGAAGGTGGTTAGTGAGAGTACCGAACTCGTCGATTTTCCAAGATAAAATCTTTTCGCATCCTCCACTTTTCCAGCAGGAAGACAAGAGGCATCATCCTACCTTCCAAGGCCCATTCCATTTATTTCATAACAAAGCATTATTCTCGTAACCGAGAAGATAAAAGAAAATTCATCATATTAATTCACACTGTACACAAGAATGTAATTAATTAAAAGTTAGCTTCTCGTATTCGTTCCCTCTCTCTCTCTCTCTCTCTCTCTCTCTCTCTCTCTCTCTCTCTCTCTCTCTCGCGCTTTCTTTCTTTTATTCTCTCACTGTCATAAGTTCTTTGTTTTTGTAATATACATTTTAATAAAGCTTCTAAAAATTTAGAGCTCAAAGGTTATTGCATACTGTGAGAGAGAGTTAATTATATATTATTTTAACGTCATCAAAAAGAACATTCGTCCCTCGGTGCGAGGCTAACCGACGACTACTCGTGGTATGCTAGATGCTAGTACGCATACGTTTCACGTGTCTGAAAACGAGTGCGAAAGCAAAAAAATCGTGTCAAGCGTTTTTTACCGTGAACGGGGATTAGTAGGTAAATAGCTAGGCGAATAAAAAGCGTGACTCGAATGAAAATAATAAGAGGCATCGATTTATTCTGCTTTCTCGACAACACAACGGAATTACATCACCGAGAAGTTAAAACGCACGCAAAAATCAACAAGTGGTCGCACTTGTTGATTGTGACGATCAATGAGAAAAAGAAAGAGATATTAAAAGAAAACACTCGCGTGAGCACAAACTACTAGCGGCCGCTCCACTCGCACAACGAATTATTGCGAACACAAGAAAATACTTTTGTAGGAAAATAAAAACGACAACAACACGTTTAACTTTACACTTCTATCGTTATTATAAATTTAAAAACTTGGGACTGATTTTAATCCGGAACACGCGAATCGATCGAACGGTAAACTTTCACGTCAGTGGCTATTGGCGGGCAGGACAAGATTGCTTCGATACCCGACGTGAAGCTTCCACTGTTCTCGCTCTCTCCTCCATTCTTTCGGCTCTCCTGATCGATGAGATACCATGCTTCCCCATAAAAACTTGTTTCGATTTTTCGCCTTTCTTACGCCGAAGATTGGTGCTACAGACGACGATGCGGATATCGCGTGGCAGACGTGGGTATGGTGCTAGAGCTGGTCGGTGGCTCCGGGGTTTTCCGGCGCTTGTGGAGCCCGGAGAACAACGGCCCGGACAGCGAATTTCTCGACTGACGTATCCAGAAAGGTTTGGTCACCGCACGGAAGCACTCTATAAAATAACAGTGGCACTAAAAACCGCACAAACACTCTGGTGAAAAATAGGCGAGAGGAAATTAGCGCGAGCTTATTTTTCTTCTCTTTTGCTTACGACTAGGCTGTCGAAGCAATACTGATAGTTTCTAGTTGGATCCAGCTCTTCTTCACGCTTTCACTTTGCGCCCGTGTGTCTCCGCTCTTTGCGTTCACGAATTTTCGGCCAGTCATATTGGTATTCGGATGATATTTAAAATATACATTATTTTTTCCATCACCTGTTTCCGCATTTTCTAAATTACCTATTTGAATCTAATTGCCCTATAGTTGTCAGCTCTGTATGACTGTGTAACTAAATACTTTTATTCAAGAGTGATTTGACATTTTTATATTTTAACATTCTGATTATTACAGAAGGTTTGTCGAGCTGACAAATTTTAAATATTTGGGGTTATGAATATTCATCAAATATTTTATTTTAAGAACAGCCTCTGTAGATGAGTGCAACCCACTCTCACATGTTAATTTCAGTTTCTTGAAAGATGTACGTGGGAGGGAGGAGGTTGACCTCCAATAATAATATATTTCATGCAAAAAGGTCGAAAACACTAATAGTCGGCAAAGCACTAGTAGTTCTCCACCTTAAATTGTTCGACCGACTTATCCGATATCTAGCGAAATGTCGTATTGTTATTAAACTTTAATTATTTTCTTTTCTTAGATTTTCCTGAATTATATTTTTCAGAGCCGAGTATTGGTGCCTTTACCTTATTCCGATGATAAATTATTCTCACTTACTAATAGTTTAACCAGCGACGAAATATGTAGATGATGATATAAGAGGTTTATTTATCTCAAAACTGCGATCATCGATGCTTGATTTATCTCCATACTGTAAGAAAAGTCAATATTTGTGGAGTCTTAATCGTAAAGAGACTATCGATAATTGTTGATATATTAAAAAAATGAGTATATTGCAATCGTAATTGAGATAAATAATTTGCACGAGTCAATGGAAAGTAGGATATCTCAAATACATAATTTCAGCAATCACAATAATATTGAATATGCGTTTATCATGGAGAGCTAGTTTTCGAAATAATGCGCTTGGCGATCCGAGAACAGTCAATTACACTAGTGCCCAACTTGAATGAGACGTACGATATAGATATTCAGCAGGATCCGTAGTTTTGCGATTATTTTAAATTAACGAAGATGAAATCACGCAGATCACAATCGGAAAGACATCTTAATATAGAATATTGTATGTACCTTGTAGTGGTTGCATGCCGAGTTGAATGCTTGGATAATCGGCTTGGATAAATCGTCGCCATAGCACAACAGCCACATCCTCGCGGTCGGGTGCAATAAGAATTCAAATATGATAATAAGCAAAATTAAACCAACAAGCATCCCTCCAATAATAAGAATTCCGTAATTATTTCGACGCATCTTTCAAAATAGCAGCTTATTGTATTATACGCGTGCACAGCTTAATACAGTTATTGTGTGTATCCAAGCAATGATCGCGACTTTAACTTGCGTCTTTCACAACTGGAAAGAAATCCGAAAACTAATTATCAAAGCACGGAAAATGTAAAACTGTATTTAATAGGCCCGATGAAATCTGGCGAAGTTACCGCACCGCGAAAGCGTCGCGATGCGTATGATCCTAGCTCTGCGTCTGCTACTGCAATATTGCTCTTTACGGGGATGCGCTGCGCAGGTCGCTCCGAAATATTCATCTGGAGGGGAGATTGTCGATGAAAACATGAACGTAACATAACTGCTTTTTATTCGAGAAAGACTTGTACTGAAACTATAAAACGCGCGTGTGATTTCTTTTAAACCATACATTTTTTGGCACTATATAAATAACACTAGAAAAGGACAACATTTCGAGAGTAGCTTGTAGTTTTACTCTGCGTTTGTTTAACACAGGTGATGGTCATTTAACCGCTACTTTGATTTTTCTCAATTATCATGTAATAGCAATTATTGGTAAATGAACATTATGTTTCCAAAAGCTATGCACTGTTTCCAGATTCAGTAAAAAATTCAATTCTATTTTCCGCATTTTTAAAAATGTATGTAAAATGTGACATAATTACAAGGTTTGTGTTTTTAAAAATACAACATATTTGCTGTACATTTACTCGTATTTTGTCTTTGCCTCACAAAGTGTATAGTTGCTACGTGCCTCTTCTTTTATGATTACTTGTGTGATCGGGAAAGGAGGAAACTCACAATTTAATCATTAATGGTTTTACTGCAGTATGGCCTACTCGAAACCCATGTTTCGAGGTGGATGCGCTTTTACACACAAACTAATAGAATTTAGATTAAATTCTCTAAACTAATTTAGAGACAAAAAACACGTTCATAACATTCTTTCCTCCGTACAATCCTAGTGGTTTTATACCTATGAGAAACGAATACATTTTTACAAAGGTCTCACAAATATTCCAGAAGCTGTTTTGATTTCAACTACTTTTATTTTGCCATCGTTTTTCTAAAGAAATATTTTTGTAATAACCTTTTTTCTTTATTGATTTCTTTCTATATTTTCGTCTAAAATTAAAATTAAATCTCCTTCTTTTAAAAGATTGACGCTTTTATGCCACTTTTTTCTAGGAACTATTGTAGGTAAATACTTGCGCAACCACCTTTTCCAAAATGGATCTGTAAAATATTGGCTAATTTGCCAACCTTTTCGCGAACATAAAATTAGTTTGTCATATGTACCAAATTGAATTATGTTTGAAAAAGTACCTATTAGAAAGTAGTTCGAAATTAGGGCTTTGTTATTTTTCAAATCCAAAGAAACATGTGTTAACGGGCGCGAATTAACAGAGTGTATAATCTCAGCAAGTACAGTAGATAATACTTCTTCTTTCGAAGTTTGTTCGCGTAATACTACTTCTAACGCAGTTTTTATTCTCCTTATCAGTTTCTACCATCCACCGCCCATGTGTGATGTGGTACGTGGATTATAATTATCAATATAATTATTTTCTGAAAAGAAATTGAATATTGACATATTATTTAATTCATAGCTTAGAATTTGTTTCAATTCGTTACTTACGCCTCTATAATTAGTGCCATTATCGCAATATATAATTAAGGGTACATCTCTTAAAGCGATACATCGTTTCAAAGCTAAACTTGTAGAATCAGAACTCAAAGTATGAACTAGTTCAATGTCAATATCTTTATTTGACCGACCGAGTTTAATTAACATAGGGCTGAAATAATCTAAACCACAATGCGAAAAGAGTTTGAAGCGATAAGCTGTTCGCTCCGATGGCATTGCTGCTATTTTTGGGCTTGAAAGTTTACCGCGAAGCATTTTATAGATACGACATTTTCAAACTAAACTTCGTAAGCCTTGTCGTAGCTCAACAATCCGATACTTCTGACTCAATTCATTTAATACGATTTCATTACTTCCGTGATAATATTTTTCGTGAAAACGTTTGATAAACAAACGAGTAAAGCTCTCTTTTGCATCTAAAACAATTAATTTATTTATGGGATATTCTTTTGGAAAATAAACTATATGACTTTTAATTTGTAAAATTTCTTTATTGTCAAAAAATATATTCAATGGTAATATACGACTATTTTTCGGACATTCGTTAGTCTTTCTTAGTGTATGTATTTCTTCACAAAAGGAATTAATTTATTTAACTTATACAAAAGTTTACAGATAACTCGCGACATTCTACAAGATTTTTTTCACTTAATTGTTCACATTTCTTTAATCGCAATTTCTTTGTCATTTTACTAATTGCAACAATAACTAAAATTATAACTGAAATCAAATGCTTCCATGATGAGAATTGAGTGAAATCTATCAAAGGTTTTTCTATTATAAATATATGCATTATGCTCAATTCTTGATCCTCCTCAGAGTTTCCTTCAAAGTTATTTATCTGGTTCGACAAACTCGATCGATTATCAGTTTCATTTTCGTGTGAAAAAAGCGGATCGAATAACCATCTACTACCGGTATTTAAAGCGTTAAATGCTAATTTTCTACCATCATCAGCTGAATTTACCGGTGATGGAAGCTGACGCTTTAATCAAAAATTAAAAATCAGTGACCTGGCAATAAGTCAATTATAATCACACACATACACGCACGTACACACGCGCGCGCACGCACACACACACACACACACACATTTTACGGATAATGAAAAGACTAAAAGGATAATGATAAAAAATTAAATAAATAGATTATTATAATAAAAAGTTAAACGTTATTATTCGCTTTCTTTGGAATTTTCGAAAATTTCTCCGAGTCGATTTGCAACACAAATTCTAAACGTTTTAGATTATTTTTCTAATTCAGCACAAAGCAGTCACTGAATCAAACGGTTTGATCCGATAAGGTCAAATTCAAGATTATTTCAAGTTCAAATATGTTTATTTACTAAAAATTAATTTTTTGACTGCAGATTCTAAAATGACCACCCAAGGTTATTTGAAGCCCTACTGAAAAAAATCAGATGATTGTCAGGTGATAGTCAGGCGATAATTAGGTGAAAATTAGCTGATAATCACGTGTAAATCATGCCAAAACGTCAGCTGATTATCAGCTGATAATCAGCTGAAAATCATATTGATAATTTCTGATATAAAACCTTGCTATTAGATAATTTTATAATTAATTAATTATATAGCATCTAACACACTAAAAAATGAATGAAACTAAAGTTCAAACTTTTATGATCATTCGAAGTGTAAATTAATAGAATGGATTCAGGAATAAAATGGAAGTAAAAATTAGAATAAGACAAAATATACTAAGAAAATATTTATTTATACTTCTCATATAAAACAATTTATTACAATCTTTGGTAATATATAAAACTAATGTTTCGTAATATATAAAACTAAGCTAGTACGCGCGTCTCTTATGGCAGCTGTGAAAACCTCCGTTGAATTTTTTATTATAATAGTCTTTTCATTAT